TTCACTTCACTCCAATGAACCCTGCTAGTGGTAAATTCTTGAAAGAGGTGTATGTATTTCATTTCACTCCGACGAACCCTGCTTGGGGTAACTTCGTGTAAAAGATTTATGTATTTCCTTTTACGCCAAGGAACCCTACCAGAGGGAAATTCGTGAAAAAAGGTAGGTGTAGTGCACATGAGTTATTACTGAGGAAGAATGAAATAGGTATGGAATGTTATGTCCAAAGTAATGCTGCAGTATAGGTGATGATGCAGATTTCGGAATACAGGACTGAAAAAATAGTATTAATTTTGTTTAAGAAATTTGCTTATCTTCTCTGTCTTCTACATGTTGTATTCTCGTGATTCACTAACTCCAGTTGCACAATTAAAATGTAAATTTATTAAGAAACATTTATGTGTATATATGTATCAATATCTTTCTATTTATATGTATATATAAAAGATATATACAGATGTATATACATACACATAAACGCATGCACTACACATAACAATCTATTTTTTTTCAATTTGTCCAAAATGACATCCTCAAATCAAATTATTCAGTTGGCCAACAAGCTTTCCACTGATAATATTGTTTTTGTTTTCCAATAAGTATTAATTTAGTCTAAGCTATGTGCTTAACTAATCTATCTATATATCGTATACTCATTATTCATTAACTCTAATTGCACATGAAACTTTCTTAATAGATAGAAATCTTTAATTAAGAAAAATGTATCTGATATGTAGTTTATAGGTGTCTTTCCGTCTCCAGAAAGGCCTACACATACATACACACAGCAACAACAATCTATTTTTTGCATTTTGTCTAAAATAACATCCTGAAACTTACAGTGGACCAACAACCTTTCCACTGAAAAGCTTGTTACCTCAGTTCATTACCTCAGTCTGTTATCCACAACACCTAAAGGATCTGAGGACGGTGCCATCTTACAGGAGCCAGCAAAGTGTAGAAAGGTAGAAGCCATGTGACGTACATAACACGCCCAGTATTGATCACTCCCGTCTGGTAGGATTTCACATCCACGTAAAGGCTGTTGGGTAGGGAAGTCTTATATAAAAAATATATATAGAGATTATCATAATGCAGACTCCCAAAGTTGATAAATAGGTCTGTACCAGCATTTATATCTAGAGCTTAAATAATCATGTTATATGCCAGTTGTTATCTTATACGTATTATCAGTTACCTTATTGAAGAACCTTGCTCTGTAGGTTCTGGCGAAATCAGTTGTGTTGCCCAGTGCTAACGAAAACTTTATACCTAAGACAGATAAAAGACAAAAACAAACTTCAGTTTCATTCCAGAAAAGAAAGAAACATAACAGGCAAAGCGTATAAGAATAGAAAAGGAATTGCAAAGAAGAGAGGCTGGTTACCATTAACGAGCGTGGCCACATCATCTGGGTGACTCAGGTAGTTGGGGTCAATGGCTGGAGGTCGTGTTGGGTCACTAGAGAGAAGAGTGACTGACCCTCGGCTCTTTGGTCTTACAAGCACTGGTCTGATAGTGAAACCCTCCCGACCAACTATCTTTTTGTAATGTTCTTTAATGAACTGAAAAAAATAAATGCGTGTGCTTAATAGACTAATGTCAAGATGTATGTTTATGCATTTTCTTTCTTATACCTTTGACATGTACTGACCATGATTTATTTTGGCTTACAATTAATCGTAAAACCACTGTAAAGTGTTTTGTGAGCTGAAATGTCTTTACCACTGTAAAGTGTTGTGAGTCTTTTCCTGCATACGTAATTTGTAATATTCATTTATAATATACGACAAAGTAAAATACCTATGGCATGGGACGATTTTTTTAATGCAACATAAGTATGAATAAATCCTATTCAACAGGGTTACAAATGACCGCATTTTTTAATTTCCCGATTACATCATTATCAAGCTCATATTAAGGAAAACGAAGAAATAACATACAGTTCTGTCCATGCCCCAGAGTGATGGATAGAACAGACCAAAGTCTGTCCCTGCTGTGAATCCATTGAAGAAAATCTGCGTGTCTGTCCAGAGAGGGTCACCTCCCCGTGAGACCTTCACCCAAGCGTTGAAAAGTTCAAGCGGTATCTGAGTCAGTGGACCTGGAAAAAGTACTTTTTCTCAAGATGCTTTCATGCTTTGTCATATTTTGAAGTCGAATACTAGAATTTTCCGTGAAGTATATATATTTTATGTACACGTTACTTTTTAAAACATTGTAACCAATCTTTTTCTCTATCTACGAAGGTCATCAAAAGATTGCCATCATGTGACAAGCTTACCTTTCCTGGACCTAATGAATTCATGTAAAGATGAAGGCGAGAAGATGTCTGCGGTCGCAAGAAGACCAAGGGATTGAGGACTAGCTCCGAACGGGACTGTCCATGTGAGACCGTTAACGTCTACGTGGTCGTGGAAGTTCTGCCCGACGCCCGGCACGTCCGCCACAACGTTTATCTGAGGAAACGAAACTTGACTTAGAGATTGACATGGGCTTATCCTAAACAGAATACTATGCTAGAGTTTCTCCTTGCTGTCTAGGAGCCGGATTTACTAAACTCTCTCGTAACTGTTACTTAGTGAGTGTGTTGTGTGGTGCAGCGGTAGCGTCCTCGCCTAGCAATCTTGCTGACCTGCGTTCGATTCCCAGTAGATCGTAACCCCAGCCATTCCTTACACACAGTCAACAACTTGACTGAAGCCACAAGAGCTTGTCACAGCAAACCCTAAACTATTATAATTATTATCAACGATTTCTCAATTAGCGACGCAACGAGCCATTTCCAAACGCCAAAACAACGAGAGCGTAGGGAAATTAAAAAGAAAATAATCGAGAAATAATGATCCCTAAGAAGGAACAAAGGACTAAATGAATGCGTTATGTTTAATTCAATAACTTAAATAAAGTCATATGACTTTAATGTCAGTATATTTTTTTCTTGTAAGAGACAGATGCAAATGGTCACCTTCAACAGTAAATACTTTTGTTAAACATCACCTTTATCAATAAACACTTATAAATTATGATATTTATATATAGAGAGTTATATTTATATCTATTTATCTATCTATATGTTTATATACATCTATATAAATCACACACATACATACGCATATTATTATACTTATACATATATATATATATATATATATATATATATATATATATATATAAATCATGTATATATATACATATATATATATATATATATATATATATATATATATATATATATATATATATATATATATATATATATAATCATGTATATATATATATATATATATATATATATATATATATATTATATATATATATATATATATATATATATATATATATATATACATATATATACATATACATATACATATATGCAAACATATATGTGTATATGTATACATTTCTCAAAAGCATTTCATTATAACTTCATAAAGAGATTATGATACATTACAACAAGTTTGTTACAAGTAAAACATTATTTTTTCTCATTATTCATCAAGAAATCAACCCCTTGCTTCCCTGTTAACTTTGGATTATGGTTTTAAGAAGTGTGCGTATATATTACTAATCTGTTATTCATTGTTTATAATAATTTGTTTCACTGGAATAAAAATCATGCTTATGGAACTTATAATAGATTTTCATTTAAATTTCGTACCTGATGATGTATTAGAATTCCTCTAATACATTAGGCCCACTTTAAGTGTTTCCGTGGCCTCCGCGCATCGGCAAAAGCCAACGTTATTTACATAAGCCACTCTGCAATTTTCCGTTATTATGCCTCCTAAACGTGTTGTTGAAAATACATTCGTTGCAAGAAACGAGAGAATAGCTTGATTTAAGACGTAAACAAACCTCATACGATCTCGTATATGAGTTAGTAAATCCGGCCCCAGGAATCCTTGTATACTGTAGGCTGAACGGCTTGTATACCTCGATTCACAAAACCATTCTATAGGGTTTACAGACGCAAACCCTTTGTATTGAGCCCTGCACTCAGAAGCCCATTATAAAGCTCCGGTAGTGTAAATTCTTACCTGATGTTGCTGGAGATGGGTCCTGGGGCCCACACCGGAGAGCAGAAGTAATTTGGGCGATCCTATTGCACCTGACGACACGATCACTTCTCGACGCGCGCCAAATTTAAGTATCTGAAAACGGTTGCTTTTGTGAGTATAGTATTGTCTTGTTTCGTCTCGTGTGATTTCACAATGTCAGCCACAAGAAAAAAAGAGATAGGCAGACAGGCAGATAGACAGAAGCAGATAAAAAGGTAAACTGAGAGACAGAGTTGCATTCAATAACACACACACACACACACACACACACACACACACACTAACCTTTCCCCTGTACTGCAGGCGAACACCAACGGCCCTCTTGTCTTCATCAAAGATAATCTGGAGGTGACAGGAACCAAACATTAAAACAATGAACTCAAAGCCACAGGCAAATTCATGGTAATGACTTCAGCCGACGTCGCTTCCTACAAACTTACTTTATGGACGGTGGCGCTGTGGAGAACATGCAAATTAGGTCTGGAGGTGACAGGTCGCAGGTAACTCTCTGCTGATGATGCTCTCGTGCCATTGCCGACTGTGTACTGGTTGACTGCAAAACCTGAAGATCGGATGTATGATGACTTTGGTTGTGATTTCAAGTATATCGGGTTTTCCTGAAGTGATTTTCCGTTAAGTACAAATGTTATGCGTCAGAACGATTTTACATAATTTTAGGTGATTCGCTGACACGCTTCGGATTCACTAATCTATCGGCTCAGGACAACTGTAACTTCAATTTGATTCACTTACAGAATAAATCTTCTTACCCATTAGCTCTTTATTCGGCGAGTCACTTCGGATTCACTCCCCTATCTGCTTAGGATGATCGTAACTTTAATTGATACACTTGCAAGAAATGCTTGTTACCCATTAACTCACTTTATTCACTGACTCACTTCGGATTCACTCACCCATCTGCTCAGGACCGTTGTAATCGACCATGGAATAGCCCAATTCCTGGCCACCCCTGACGAAGGCTTTAAAAATGGGTCCGGGAGAGTCTGGGGTCACCGCCAAGGGCCCGCTCCGTCCGCGATACCTTTCTGTGTCGGATAATAAACCATAAGAATAATAAACCATAAGAATAATAAACCATGTTATGCAATTCTGTATGTTGTTTAACGGATGGAGGAAGAAAATTTTAGCTTTGAATTGTCGGCGAGAGATGAAAAAATCTTTTGAGCGTCGAGACATAAAATGATTGCTTGCTTCCCGAAATGAAGAGTATAAGCCAGAGGTTCTCAATTCATTCAAAGCTTCAGCCTAAGATTTGATGAATCTTGCAACCCTTTTGAGAGTGATATCACATTTGAGCATGATAATGCCAATTTCACAATTAATATTATCATTAGCATTATGCGAGTACACGTGCTACTGGGTTGAACAGTCTTTCCGCAAAGGGCGTTTATCTGCCCTACATTGCTAGAGTTAGGGGAAATATAATATATAATTGTCGCTCTACCTAAAATGCTGTCTCGTCAGCATACCAAGGTTGGGAAACCCTGGTCAAGGCTGTCGTGACTTTTGACATATGATGCCGAGACGAACAAGATTTCGTTAGACCTTATAAGCCACGACTTACTTGTTTCAATTCTAGTTTTTCCGACTTAGGTATAAAAAAAAAAGCTCCTGCGTTATTTTGCTTCATTTCTCTTTGAATGAACAATTAACATATTTTAAATTAATCTACTACGATAGCTTTTGTCGTCTAACTGCCAGAATCCCTCCCAGTCACCAGGATTCAGCAAGATTTGTTGATAATTTTCCATTCAGTCATCCTGACATCTGACCAATGTTCACATTCTAATGGTTTTCCGCTAGATATAGAAATTTTGAGTCATGATCTAGCGGGAAAATGAGCTTTTACTCTTGTGTCTAGCGTTTTTTTAAAGTCCAATCTAGTTGTTTTGTGGAAATAATAGCAACGCTGCGTTAATCTAACACTTCAAAACCCAATTTTTTTACCATGTTACTCTACCTGATAGTCATTCTCTCTCGAATGGCCTTTGGATGTAAACAAACACATATCTGATGTTATACCAATATTTAGGACTTAATAATTTTCAGCAACTCTAGTAGGATCGAATTAGTCGGTCGGATTCGTCTTCACTAAATTGAGTTCATAGTCGGCCATTGCATTCATTTCTCTTCTAAACAGCCATATACACTCCCACACCACACACATGTACATACGTAAATATATACATACATACATATATGCATACAGAAATACTATTAAATTAACCAGTCTATAATAGTGAATTGAACACTATAATATTAACATTCTAATTAACGAGCTAAGTAGTTGTACAATTGTCAACTACTGCTAACAACTCTATTGGCTTGCTCGTTTTCGCTGCCCCGAATTACCAGGTAGGTTGCCTCGGTCACTCCTCCGTCGCCATAGATCTAGGAAAGACAACTCTGCCATTTGCTGATTTTTGTCGCGTTCCTGGGTTCGTACTTTTGAATTCTCTTGATTAGGGATTAAGGTGATACATTGTATGGTATCGGCTAAGTTTCAACCAGCCATTTATTATAGGGAAAATAATATATGCAAACAACAGAGCGAATAAATCTGAGAAACTTATCTTCTCAATATTTTAAAAATCGCCATCCGATATTCTTCCCTACCTATAGTAAGCAAAATGATGCCGTTTTTTACATTATGAAAATATAATTACGTACTTCGATAAACCCTGCATAAAGTTACATGAGCGACACTGGTATATTTTATGACTAATCTTTAAACTTCAAATATGAATTTTCATATTTCTTACATCACAGTGTTCTGTCAAAAAAATATAAGTCAGTTGCGTTTCTTTTTCAACTAGCGATAAAAACGTCGCTGTCCTATACGGATTACATTTTCACCTTTATAAAATTTATTGTGCGTTAAACATTGATTTTTTAAGTTATGGGATGACGAGAAAGTTATTAACTGTATTCGAATATCCATAACTATCAGTGCTGATTAGGAAGTAACAGTTTCTAAATCCATTAGCCACAACGATATAACAGCGATAGAGAGCGCAGGCGAATTACTTGTCTTTGAGGATATTGAAGATGGCACTTCTTGCGTGGTAGACATGCTCTCTCACAATAAAATAGCCTTACGAATGAAAAACATTCTTTTCAACGATAGAGGGAAATGTACACTGTCTTATAGAGTATAAGAAATAGAGTAATAAACAACAGGTACAGCTGCACCGGCATCATATTTACCGCGAAATGTCGTATTTTCTGTGTTGTAAAGTGCTAATAAAGGGGGGCACAGTGGGGTGCCTGCCCCCCCCCCCCATCTTGGCAATAAATATAAGGTAGGAAAGGTTTGGTTTGGATTTTTGGATTCGCTTGAAACCCTAGCTATAAAATGTAAGATGGGAACTTATTCACCTTTGCCTGAGCACCAAATACAACGGAGACTGTAGTGGATACTACATGCCGTGCAGCTTAAAATAATTGCCTATCTTACATAAATACTAATGCTTTTAGCTCAATTTCGTCGCGCGCGCTGTGACGGCACACCAAATCTACCAACTGGTCGTTTGCAATAGAAACGAACTTCAGCTACATAGGTAATAATTTTCAGCAATAGTGCGTGTATTGTATTATTAGAAGTAAGGGCTTTTTATTACATGCATTTGCTTATTATTTGAAGATATTTACTACATGCAATGAAATATAGACTTCGCCGGTTTTCGTTCTACGTTAATTAAATCTTATGCATTTTCTTTGACAGCGAGCAGACAACACACTGAACCTTTTATTGTGGGCGAGGGCACTGCTTTCCGAAAAAGAAAAGAGTGGTATTTCGCGCACCCTCCAGAGATGAAGTTCGAAAAACCAAGGTATCATGCGAACCCAAAATACAAACCTAACCTTTGCTACCTGTATCCCCCCTTTATTAGCACAGAAAACGCGACATTGAAAATTGTCTGTGTGAGGGAGTTGTAGACTCTGAGAAGGGATATGCAGTGGATATTAACGTCATTTCGCGGTAAATATGAAGGCGCAGCAGCTGTAGATGTGCTGTTTATTACTTTTTTACCTCCGCCAAGGAGGTTATGTTATTGACGGCGTTGGTTTGTTTGTTTGTTAGCAGCGTAGCCCAAAAAGTGCTGGCCGGATTTTATCGAATTTTGGGGGGACAAGTCAGAAAGGGACTAACTTAGAACTGATTAAATTTTGGTGACATTCCGAATTACCGTCTGGACGCAGCCAAAGTATATATATTATATACGCACCTTGGCGGAGGTCTGCACTCTCTGAGTGCTTTTCTAGTTTATGTTCTATAAACTGGCAGTGTCCATTTCCTCTCACTGCGTCGCGCTCGGTAAAATTAATCCTGTTAATGTATTGTGTAGACAGGATGTTCTTTTTTATTTTCTTTCTGAATTTTTGTGTTTTGATTTTAATGATGTGACGGAAGAGCTAAGATGAATTGTAGTTGAGTTTCAAACTCATGCTTTGCTATAATAAATGATAAATAAAAAATGAAAATGAAATATGATTAACAACTGCTAACGAATTGTTACTTTAATCAATATCTATATCACAAGAAAATATTACAATGCCATAAAGGAAAGTATGCATAAGCAATAATGAACGATATAGAAAATATTTTCATTAACTACATGGTAAATGAATTAACATGTAATAAACTTATTAACCTAACTGTATCACTGTACAGGGTAAAAAAGGAATGAAGAACCTTAGTGAATGGACTTGAAAACCACTAGTTGTACTTTTACACAAGAACAGTTTTTGTTACACTATTTAGCTGTTCATATCACCATTCAGATACGCAATCGCATTGATTTATAAGGATTAGAGGTCTTCAAAATTCTCATAGGGATATACCATTCGTTCATAATAATAATGATAATAATAAATACACAAACACACATGAAGAGAGAGGCAGAGAGAGAGCGAAAAGTGCTTACCATTGTCTTTTTTTCCCCAGCGACAGAACAACAAAAACTAACCACTCTCTCCCTGAAAACTGCCATGGTACTTTTCGGCTTTGATGAAATACGGCAGCACAGACCGGTAGTCCCAGCCCGCGTTCCCGAGGGAGGCCCAGTGGTCGAAGTCGCGCCGGTTTCCTCGCACGTACATCAGGCCGTTGATAGACGAGGAACCGCCGACCACGCGTCCTTGGATGATGCGCGCCATCTGTGGGCGGAGGGCAGGGTGAAGAGTGTATACATATATACAAATTTATGTGTGTGTGGGTGCGTGAGTACTTACCGTGCGCGAGCGTGTAAGGACAATAAGATTGAGAAAACCGACCCTCACCCGATTTTCAAAGTTCTTCAGTCCGTGCTTCTGAGGCGTGGAGGTGTAGTCCCAGTCTAGGTCATGGCCGGGGAGGAAGAAGAACGGCACGAACGCCGGCAGGAAGGTTTCCGCAGCAGGAGGACCGCCCGCCTCCACCACCAGCACGCGCCAACCCTCAACCTCGGATAATCTGGAGGCCATGACACTTCCGCCACTCCCGGCGCCGACTGCAATGGCGGGAAAGGCGGCCATTTTGGATTTCGTCATCATCGAGAGACTTCGGGAAGCGAGGAGGAAAAATTAAGATAAAAAAGGCAGAGTGAGGAAGAGAGGAAAAAGACAGAGACATGACAATGGAAAGGCAGCTAATTTTGGTAATCATCGCGAAATTCCAAGAAGGGAGAAGGAAACACGAAGAGAGAAGGAGAGGGACATTGATAAGGAATATGAGCTGGTCGGAATGAGGACGGAGAGGAAGAGGAAGAAGAGAGACACAGAAAACCATGTAGAGAGATAAAAAAGGATATAAAAAGAGACAAATCTCCAACTTACAGTAAATAAAATAAATTTTCTGTTACACTGTTTTATAAAGTGAAGTTGCACTGAAGTACAGCATTGTCGAATAATTATCATTTAATTAATATTAAGCAATTATCGTCCACCAAACCTATCAACCAAACAAGTATATCTTCACATCGATATCAAAGAATCAACATAGAGAACAAAAAACAAAACTAATCATCAGTATCATATCATCGACAATGAAGTCATAGCTCGATAAAATCATAATAAAACTAATAATTAAGCTATAATTTAAAAAGAACGCATATCGTCTCACCGACAACGAAGTCATACCTCGTTAAAATAATAATAATAATGATAATAGTAATAATAAAAACAAAAATTAAAAAAACGAATATCGACTCACTTACCGACAATGAAGTCGTAGTCCGCGTGCAGTTGTCCGCTCAGAGCATAGTTCCCCCTTTCCCCGGCCTCCCGCACCACGAACAGCAGGATCAGGCGGAGGAGAGGCAAGGTGACCGCAGTCAGGAACCTCACGACCGAATTCCCTATGAAACTGATCATTCTGCTTCTGAAAGGGAATTGAAAAAGGGTACTTAATATGTGTGTAACACACAAGCACACACACGCGTATTTACATATATGTATATGTATACATATATGTATATGTATACATATATGTATATATACATAAATATATATATATATGTATGTGTATATATATATATATATATATATATATATATATATATATATATATATATATATATATATAAAACTGCCCTGATGGTCCAGTGGTTAGAGCACCTGACTCCTACCCTCGTCGTCCCGAGTTCAATTACCTGCCGCGGCAGTTGAAAAAAAAAATGCCTGCGCTCCGATTAATGGCTCGAGTTCGATCTCTCGGCGAAAAAACGACAAATATTAAGGAGTCAAACGCAGGTGCCGTTGGGGAAATCACAGCCGTGACACAAGAGATAGCGCGCCGAACCGCGGTTAATTAGGAAGGGCTTCCAATCAGGCAAGAGTGGCACTGCCAAATAAGCTCTCAATAGTTAATTGAGAAAGGCTTAAGTCCTGCAGTAGAATAACTGGCTATTGAAATTATATATATATATATATATATATATATATATATATATATATATATATATATATATATATATATATATATATATATATATTCGTGTGTGTGTGTATGTGTGTGTGTATGTGTGTGTGTGTGTGTGTGTGTGTGTGTGTGTGTGTGTGTGTGTGTGTGTGTGTGTTAGGCACATATATGCATACATTTATATACATATATATTTGTATATGTATATTTATTTTATTTATTTAATGTATATATAAGTGGATTATATATATATATATACATATATAGTTATGTGTATGTGTATGTATACATATATATATATATATATATATATATATATATATATATATATATATATATATATATATATATATATATATATATATATATATATATATATAGGTATTACTAATACTTCAAATTGATGGTAAAATAGTAGTAATTATAACATAAATTAGTATGTTGATAATGATAGGAATACTAATAGCAAAATTATTAGTAGCTACAACATATATCTGTATATATACATGATATATATATATACGTATGTATATATGTGTGTGTTTATATATATATACATATATATATATATATATATATATATATATATATATATATATATATATGTATATATATATATATATATATATATATATATATATGTATATATATATATATATATATATATATATATATATATATATATATGAATATATATATATGAATATATATATATATATATATATATATATATATATATATATATATATATATATATATATATATATATGAATATATATATATATATATATATATATATATATATATATATATATATATGAATATATATATATATATATATATATATATATATATATATATATGAATATATATATATATATATATATATATATATATATATATATATATATATATATGAATATATATATATATATATATATATATATATATATATATATATATATATATATATATATATATATATATGGCATTCCTGTGTCACCTGCGCGTAATTTCCATATTTCACCCCCATCCCTTTTCTTTTGCTTTCGTTTTTTTTATCATATTAATTGCTGCATTTGTTAGCTTTATCGGTCCTGCTTTTAATTCATGTATTCGATTTTTATTTTCATTTGTTTCGTATTTTTAAAAGGTCACATTTTCCGCAACATATTTTTCAAACAATGTACGTAACATAGCACTACACTTTTGAATAATCAGTGCTTTGAATAAATTCTTTAACTTAGGTTTTTATAATCTACTAAGAACTTATCTTATCTTGTTTTACAAACTGACTGGTCTCAATTTTACTGTTTTATGTTTTTAGTCGGTTTATAATTCGTGTTTTATAGCCTTTTAATGACGATTTCGACTTTTTTATATGGAATGAATCACTTCCAGAACAAAATGCATTTGATTTGATTTTGTTATCTATGAAAAAAAATATTCACTGTTTTGTGGCGTCACGAGCTCCGGGAATTCCCAGGAAAGGAGCAAAGAAACAATATCAACTGGAACTTTGTTGCAGGAATTGAAGGCAATTAAAATAATACATGGCAATAAATCAAGTTTAAATCCAGGGATGCTCACATTAAATACTAGGTCTTTTTACATGTAATTTTTTCGTAATCGTTCAGCAGTGCTTGTACGTATGAAAGAAACGTAACTTATTCGTGACTTTTACTGATGAGAGTTTGCCTTTTATTTACGGTTTTATGTTTTTTTTATACATTTACTGCACTCATACTGTACGTTTACTGGTCTTTTTACTGAGCCCTCGGCGTTCTCGGCGTTTTATCATTACTTTGCCTTTGTTACCGACTGTTTTACCTTGCAGCAATATTTCTTCGTTTTCGAACTGACCTTTCACTATTGTTCATTTCTACCTTTTGTTGGTCATTGTTTTGCATTACTGCTTATGTCTTCTATTTCCACTGCCACTTCTGCGCCTACCGCTCATGCTGCCAATACTAATACTGACACTGCTAACTCTACTGCTATTGCTCGTTCTACCACTACTGCTATTGCTACTGTTGTCACTACTACCATTGCTACTATCAGCACAATGAAAGGACCCTAGAGTAGGATAAAAAGCATTATTGTTAGGTGTTTTTAAGGGAGTTACTTGTCTTGTTTCAAGGGGAGTGAACGGGATTGACTGATTATTTAAAATTATCTGCCGCGTCAACAGCTAAGGTCATTAGCGGCGAGAGTGAACGGGACCCCTAATTTTTTTTTTTTCACCTGGTTCCTAAGCCTCTCCTGCCTCACGGGAAATTTGATTTTGGGTTCCTCCTTGCGGTACTTGACCTTAATCTCTCTCTCTCTCTCTCTCTCTCTCTCTCTCTCTCTCTCTCTCTCTCTCTATATATATATATATATATATATATATATATATATATATATATATATATATGAATGTATACTCTGTATTTTTCCATGTCACTTTGAACTCATTTGTTTCACTGAATTTTCTGCTGGTCATCCCGTTTTTTTTTTTTTTTAATCAACAGGAAAGAAAAAATATAAGAAATGTATTGTAAACACACACACACAAACTTGTACTCACATAGACGCACACGCACACAATAAACTCATTTTTTTTATATCTTTCTTTCACTCATTTTGGATTATCTATAAAGCGAAGGTCCCAACACAAGAAAATAATCCGTTTTCTCTCTCCTTGTGCTGAAAATGTTTTGCATATAAAAATCTCAAGCAGTCTATAATCTTATCCTTTCTAAAGTTTTAAAAGGAAAACGCACAAAGACAAAAACAAAATAGCATCATGACACAAACTGAAGTGGAATGCGTTTCCTTAGGAAAATTCTTCATTTCCATCTTACTGTGATTTGCATTTAATGTCTAACTACAAAACAGATAATTAGAAGGAAGCTGAAACATTACTGGAGTGATATATTATTTACTAGGCGATAAGTATAAAAAATATCTAGTTTTTTTCTAGCAATTTTTACTCGCATTTTCGTTTCAAAGGGAAAGATGAGATTTCGGCGATATTTACAGCGAGAATCTTAACACTATCTATCTATCTATCTCTATATATACATATAACTATCTCTGATATATAATAGAGAATATATATTTTTTACTTAACTCGTTAATCGTTCACCGCCACACTTAGTCTACGTTAGAAAAAAATATTATAAGGTCCTTGAAGAGTTGTAATCTATCTACGTTTACATTTTAGAAAGCATGTATTGATATGTATGTATGGTGCATGTATGACTATATCATGTAAATCTGCAAGTGTGCATGGTTCATGTATGTAGAATATCATGTATATGATGACATCTGCGTAAGTTAACATACAATTGTGTTCGCATATGGTGGAAAGCAATAATTAAATGTTTTTGCATTATTATCAGTCATGCTTAATTTATGACAATGAAGAAGTACAACAAATCGTGAGATATTTACTATCTTTTTAGAACTAAGTAAGTCTTCTTGCATTCATAAAACCCTGTGACTTTAGTTTTGGTCATCTTGCGGTCCAAGGTTTACATGAACAATGAGAGATCACTTCATGTGTGTTATGCGTGTTACGTGTTACTGCTGCGGTCATCCGCGGCTTCGAGGATATATTTGTTGTTTTTTTCTAACGTTAATGGATAGGAATGTTATTAACTCTCAACTCTGTATCGTGTAGTTCTTAAGAACTTTACCCCCTCCCGTCATATATATGTATTTTCCTTGTGACTTCGAACATGTCACCTGGTAGAGATTTTACTATCTGCTTATGAAAAGAGCGCGGAGATGCCAGGTGTCGCTAGCCGGTTATTCAAATATTTTTATCTACAGATAACTTTCGTGCTGAACTGTGAATATTTCATTCAAAATATGTTATTGCAATGCATATAAACCCTACGAGAAAGGTGAATATTATAACGAAGAAACGATAGAGTTTTAAAGATAACAACTATTGTTTACATATATTGGTCATGCATCGGAGTCTCACAATAGAAACTTCGATACATTGTTGTATTTATTTCCATACCCTAATGATACGATTAAAGGTATTTCTTGTGTGTGACGAAAGTTAGAAGCCTGAAAATCCTTCAGCTGTTTTTTTTCTCTCCTGATAAAACTATATTTTCCATTTATCATCTTTTTAATTCCCATTCTCAGATACCTATGGTTATGTTGGTGTGCCAAAACACAGGGATAATATGTTATTCACTCAAATTCATGAGGCTGGAAACTATTGAAAGCATGGAATAAGGGTAGCGGACAAAATATTGCGCTTGGAGTATTTCGGGTAGGCCTACACACACACACACACACACACACACACACACACACACACACACACACACACTCACTCACTCACTCTCACTCACACACACACATATATATGTATATATATATATATATATATATATATATATATATATATATATATATATATATATATATGTGTGTGTGTGTGTGTGTGT